GTACTTTAAAGTGTATAAATAAGTTACCCGGGCAATTGATTTACATTAGCCAATCAAACGAATGTCTGACCATGAACCACCACCCATAGAATATTGTATCTAAATTAAATAATTAATTAGAATTTTAATTTAAATTAAATCAAAAAAATTAAATGTTTAATATTACATTTTTCTATGCATGACTTGGATCTACCCAATCAGTAATATGAAATATAGTAGCTATACCATCTTGTGAGGTTGATGGATATTCAACAGGTACATTAGAATAAATTATGGTTTTTACAAGAAAACAGGATGTGAAGCATGCAACTTCAGAAACTTCTTCATCGCTAATATTATTTATTGACTCTTCACTTAAAGATTCAGTTTCGGACTGTTCCTTATAATAATTTAAAATTTTAACACAATTGATAATAATTAAGAAAATTTTATTAACAATATGTACCTCCAGTTCATATTCAGGATTTACTAAATCAAATTGATATTCTTCAATATCAAATAATTCAAAATCCATATTTCAATTATATCGTTTATCAAAGAGATAAATATCATTAAACGAAAGACTTAGTAATGCTAAAGCTTTTAGTATTTTATAGCCATTATCTGATTTTTGATTTATCAAGTAACTACGAAGCTTTGCATCACCGGATCAATTTTACTTTCAAAATTATTAAATATTTTATGCAATTGAACATCAGTAAACAAATCATATTTTTTTTTGTAGCAATTTTGATCAAATAATTACGAAGCGTTGCATTTGCACATCACCAGATCAATTTTACTTTCAAAATTATAATATATTTTATACAATACATCAGTATACGAATCAGATTTTTTTTTATGCATCATGCGTACGTCTGAGTATATTTTTTTCAAAGGTCCGTCCGTCCGTCGATTTTGTGCTACTGTACAGTACTACTTTACTATATACTCATAAAAACATATCTCATTGAGAATATGAAGCAAATATTGTACGTACAGTACGTATATAGTTGCATCAATCTTTATGTACTACGTATGTATTAATTAATATCGATATATATATATTATAATTTATTATCGTTTGATTTGGTCGATATGTGTTATGTTTTTTTTATTGTTTTGAGTAATCGCGTTAAACTTTTACGTCGTACACGTATGCCTTAGTTATATTCCCATATCTGATATTTAGGCAGAATAAATTTCCTTTTTTTATATGCTTATATTGAGTTACCGTTATACGAAAAAATTATTTGAGTGTGTGAAAACCTGTAACCAATCATAGAAATTGTTGTAAGTGGAAGCGGAACGGAATTTTTATATAAACCCAGCATTTTGGGGTTGATTTTATCATACCGGGTTGGTGAAAAGTAACTAAACAATGACCTTTTTTTAAACTATTGATTATCACTTAACGTTTATACCAGTATTACGTAGTTACTTTTCACCAACCCGGTATATACACCCTTACCCTAACCCTAATTTAATTTAAAATTCCGAATCCACTTAATTCCATTACCACTTACAATATATATAAGTGCTAACAAAGGAAAATAAGGCTTTGGATTTATTTTTTGTCGGATTCGGCCTTTTAAAATTTGATGATGACATATCTGATATGGTATATAATCACATATCATATATCACAAATCTGGACTGGATCCGGCAGCATTCACATAAAGATCCGTCGGGCCATAAAAAATGTAATAAACCCCCTCGACTTTATGGTATACACGAATGTTACTCCGATTTTATGCAACAATTCCAATTTTTTTAATAATATTCGGAATCCACTTAGATTAGAATGGAATAATTATATTAAAAATCTCAACCCTAACCTTAAAAATTCCGATTCAGTTTAAATTCTGTTTCCACTTATGACATATATAAATGATGACTTATTTTCAAGTGTGATATATTAAAGAAAGAACTAGGAAGTTTTTTTTTTTTTTTTTTTTTTTTTGCATTCTTCATACTGTTTAATTTACAGAGATCTCAGCAAAAGATTTGAGAATTTTTAAAATTTAATTTTTGTTGATTCTATATATTTCAATAAATCTAATTAGAAAGCAAATTAATATATATATATAGATTATATTTACTGTTTTCTGCGACTTATTATATGGTTTATTATAAATTGCGATGAAATTTTAATAATTGCTATAGAACGATTTATCATTATTTTTCTTATGTTATTAAAAACTGGTTTTAATTTAATAACATATGCATAAAATGCGCCACGTGCGCTTGCAATTTTTTCCTCTTCCCTTAATGTTGTAAGAAAAAAATTAATATAATCTTTTGAACCATTATGCGAGATTTCCCTCAAAAAATTAAAGAAAACTGGCGTATTTTAAGGGTTTAAATAAAAAAATCGTTCGCACTTAAATAATTCCCAAGATTTACTAACAAACAAATTACGGGAATTTACGAAAGTGGATAAGATCTTTAATACCCTCAATCCTGATTCGATCAATTTAGAGATGTTCAAAATCGGCTGTGTTTAACCATTGTTTGCACAACATTTTAGAAGTTTGTAGCCAATTCATGTCACACAACGGAGTTTATTACAGTTCACCGAAACTTATATAAATATAAAAATTCAGTACTCCAAATTTTCATTCCTAATTTTTTGATTTTTTTTCTTAAAAAATGAACGAAAATTTAAAGCGAATGTTCAGTTCTGTTGATCGAGGATCACGTAAACGAATAGCACTTGAACAATCATGGAAAATGAATTGTTCTCGTCCCACAATTCCAGAACATTCGTTTAAAACTATCGCATTACTTGCTGGTTGCAGTATTGAAGAAGTTAAAGAATATTTCGAGGCTCAGGTATGTAATATCCTGAATTATATTATTTTCTACGGAAAAAACTTCTATATGAGGATTAATTTTTTTAACTATATACGATGATTTACTTTTTTGGTCCTTAATTGGTTGATCTAGCGCAATTCCAGCTTGAATGGTAAGTTTCTTATAGAAATTATTAATAATTAATCATTTTGACTTTTAATCTCTGTCTCATTTTTTAAGATTCTTTAGATAATGACGACAATGACAGCCAATCATCTGAAGATGGATATTTTTCTGAAGACATGAATCTATTGGATATGTTGTATGAGGATCAATCTTCAGATCAAGATTTTTTCCTTGCTGAATCGAATTCCTCAACGTCAAATTGTCATCAGAACTTTTCTGCAGAAAATTTGCGAAAGTAAATCCGATTAAAAAAAAAAAAGAAAAAATTTATTGCATCGTTTTACAGTCATTTATACAACTAATCTTCGACGTACTATGTTTAGGCGAACCATCAAACATGAAGCTTGTTCACATTTCAAGAGGGATGCCCCCTCTTTCAAACGCATAAAATGTCCCAATGTATATCATAGTGATACTGACGCTTCATCCATAAAATCTCGATGTGAATTAATATCTGATTCTGACAGTTCGAGTTCACATGAAAATTCTCAATGTGAAATGGAAATCATATACGAAAGTTCATTAAATGAAACGTATGATTCTGATTTTGTTTTAAATAGAATGGACGACACTGAAGATTTTCTAATTGACATTGGTCGAGATTTATCAGAACCATCTAACACTCATTTACAAAGAAAGCCTTGCTATATCTCGCCCTATGATCGTTTTGATGCTTGCATTTCATGTAAAATATCTTGACGCAATTCAAGCCGTGTTATCCACAGATGATCTAATAATTATTTGTTTTCTAAATTGTCAGGTTTACCTAGTAGTGAAGAACAGTGTCGGTTTCAAAATTTTCGAGTTTTTAAACAGTTTTCATCGGATAAATCTCATCCAAGGGTCTGTTTCTCTTCTAATAACAATCCACTCCCGAAATTCATATATAATAATATCATTTCGTCTGATGAAAATGATCAATATATTCTGGGTGTGTTTCTTTTATTATCTTTTTAAATGATTAATGTTAGAAAATGGTCTTTATATATTTTTAAACTTTTCTTTTTTAGAGGCGATTGCATCAACATTCCAAAATATTTTATTGAAAGAGCATTATCATTTAAAAACTTTTAAAAATGAGATGATTCGCCGCGTTTTAGATTCCGACATTCGCCATCTTTGCGATCATTGTGTGACAACAATTTTCAATGGATATTGGATGTGTTCGTTCTGTGGTACAGAGATTTGCCTTGATTGTTATGATGAATGGGATGATTTTTCAAAATCCAGATGTAAAAAGGGTCGAGTACACAAAAAAGAAAATTATTTTCCAATCTCACATCTTACGCAACATGATGTTCAAATTCTTCTTGATAGTGTGTCAAATGTAATCTCTAAAAAAAAAGTCAAAACTAATGGAAATTTAACTCGATCGCATATTTTGCAAACTAAATGGATTAACGGAGAAATGGATATTGATCAGTTTCAATGCATGTGGAAAATTGGTCATCCGTTCATGATTTCTAGTTTTTATGAGAAACTCACTCATCGTCTATGGACTCCTAAATATTTCTCAAGGCAATTTGGTGATGTTATTTGTTCATGTATTGACGTAGTCACGAAAACATCACGTAAATTGAAAGTTGGCGACTTTTTTGCTGGATTCAGTTATTCAAGTCAAAATGAAAAAGGAAAAGATCGTAGTCCTTGTCTAAAAATCAAGGTAAATATAATTCCTTTACATATTTCTTCCAGCATCATTTAATAATTAATTGATTATAATTTATTAGAACAATCTATTTTGATTTTACAGGACTGGCCACCTAATGAAGACTTTGCTAAAGCATTCCCTCTGCATTTTAATGATTTTATGTTTGCTCTGCCTTTCAAACGATACACACATCGTAATGGATCTTTTAATCTTTCTGCTCGACTTCCTCCTAAGACGAATCCTCCTGACCTCGGGCCTAAAATGTACAATGCTTATGGATCAACTGATGAAATTGGAGGAAAAGGAACAACAAATCTCCACCTCGACATGACCGATGCTGTTAATCTTATGACCTATGCCACACCTCCTGAGCAACGTTCCAAATACGAACGACAATTCTTACATGCTGCTGTTTGGGACATTTATAAGATGGATGATCTTCCATTGCTGTGTAAATTTTTACGAAAGTTGGCAAGAGAACGAGGGATTGTAATTGATCACCCGATTCATGATCAATGTTTTTATCTTGATGAGGCTTTAAGAAAACGACTTCTAAAAGAATATGGTATTAAAGGTGTTAGAATTTATCAAAACCCTGGAGATATAGTATTTGTACCTGCAGGATGTGCACATCAAGTTTGTAATTACACAAGTTGCATAAAGGTGGCATTGGACTTTGTTTCTCCAGAAGGAGTTGAAAGGAGTTATAAGATAACAAGACAATTCCGGAAGCTAATGCCAGGTCACAAGCGTAAAGAGGATATTTTGCAACTCTCAAACATTCTTTTTCATACTTGGATGGCAGTTACTTCAAGGCAAGGTTTTAAAACTAAACCACAAAATAGTAAAGGGTTGTTTGATAAAATTAAAAATTGGTTCCCTCAATAATTCCATCTAAAACAAATATGGTTATTGATTCAAATAGACTTTATTATTTTTATTTGGATTCTTCTGACTTATTTATAATTTCGGCAGTATATTATTTTTGTTTGCTGGAATTGTATTCGCATTAAAATAACTATAGATGCGTGATGAGCTTTTATATATTCTGCAAATATAGATACAAAATCCACTTTTTTTATAAATATGTAAATACAGTAGAACTAGGTTTTTAAACCTGCAAAATACAATAGTTACTAGAATAAATATCCCAAATACTATTTATGCGTAGCTAATATTTATATAGGGATAACGATAATAAATACAATGTTAGAATTTTTTTAAAACTATTATTATAATCTTTTAAAAACTATGAAAAATATGTTAAGTATTCTGGCAAAAAAATAGCAAATTTGGTTATAATGATGTATAATCAACCAAAATTGACCAAATATTTCAAAAGAGTGGGTGGGTGGCATGTTTTAAAAATATTAAAACGCGAATTTATTAATCTAATAGATAGAATATAATTTTGTACAAAATTATATATATTATATTTTAAAGCATACTTTATAATTTAGACTGCATTTGCTAGATTTTTTAATAATATTTAATTTAATTCAAGGTTATTAATTTATATCACTATTTAATATATTAAAGCATCAGTTTACATGTGGGCCAGGTGCTGCAAAAAGGGAGAAATTGACAAATTTTTTATAATTAATTTTTTTGCATAAACAAAGCTAGTTGTTTTAATAAAATTTTGTAGTATAGCTCTTCAAAATTTTCAATTTCTTATAAAATTTAGAAAACTATTGATAGTTCGAAGAATTAGATTCACACACACATATCTGGTGCTCTATGACTCCACTGTAATGTCTTTGAACAATAATTATGTGTGATTTAAATTAAAACATAATAAAGTATATCAAGCATTGTTTTGAAAGAGCAAAAAAAATTTTTTTCTTGTAAATACAAAAATATATACAGTCGTGCTCCCATATAATCACCTCCTCTATAATCACATCATATAAAAACCTCTCTATATATCACGTTTTTATTTAAAATAATTTAATA